TCACAGCTCCTCTTTCTCCCCCCTACCCCAAATCCTCACAGCTGTGCTCAGCAGCCCGAGGCGGTCCTGCCCTGCTGGCAGCTCATGGTTGCTTCACATGCAAGGAGTTTTTGGCAAGGAAACTACAACTCCATCACCCTGGGGTCAGTTGGGATGGCTCCAAGTGCCACCAAAGCCCCACAAACCCAACGATGCAGCCTGGGGGCACGCAGGTTCCAGCCCACCCTCCCTGTCTGGGAGTGCATTCCCAGAGTGGAGCAGTGGGAATTTCATGCATTTCTTTGCAATCCAGCAGTGACCCCGGGGGCCAGGAGGAGAATGAGTCAACTTCCAGCAACGGGGGCAGGACTTCTCACCGCACTGAAAGCTGCCACTTTGCTCCGGCTTCAAACCGGTGCCGTTCAGAGAGGCGGTGATGAAATCAAATCATTAACTTGGCACCTCACACCGGAGAGGGGCTGCAACCTTCCTGCGTGCGCAGCTCCTGCACAAAGCAGAATCCAACACAACAGACCCCCTTCCCCCTCCAAACCTTCCCCCACCACCCCCAGTCCACGGCTTGAGCGAAGCTCCAGGCTTTGCGGCTCTGGGGCTGCTCCCACCTTCTGTGCTGTGGGTTAACGTGCATCTCTAGAGCTGTTCCTGGCCTCCAAAGGGCAAAGCCTTCACCCACCCCCGACTGCTGTGCCCCGGGGATGCTGCAGGGCTCCTGGCACAGCTCTGGATGCAGATGGGGACGTCACCACAGCCACACACTGCAGGCAGCGACCACCTCCACCTGCAAAGCAGAGGGGAGCAGGAGCTGCTGGGGGTGGGAAGCAATGTGACTGCAGCACATCGCCGTGCCTCGGTGCCCCCTGGGGGCTGGTTCTGCTCCCCAGGGAGCTGCACCCTCCCTCCATCCACCCGTGAGGACAGAAAGGAGGGGATGAGCCCACCTACAACCCTGGGGAACAGCCACCGCTCACCACTTTCCCTACATGCAACCAGAGCCAGCCAGACCCACAAACCACCTTTTCCTGGCTTGGAGCTGGAAGGAAAGCACAGCCCAAGGTGCAGACAAGCACCATTCTCTACAGGGGAGCAGCTGAGCCCCACCAGGGCCACCTCACTCAGCAGAGCACCAGTCCCCACAGCGCTGCAGCCTGGCATGTCTTTCCCTGGGGCTGCCAAAGCAATGGCAGAAACACAACAAACACCAACAAGGCGCAGCACAGTCGGCAAACACTCCTCTCTTTATTTCCTCCCTGCTTTGGTTTGTGCTTTTAGATATACGCATTTTCTCCCCCTCTCTCCCACAAGGAGGCTGTCGCCGTCGGGAGGGAACAGCAGCATCATTCCTCAGCGCATGAAACCCACGCTGTCCCAGCAGGAGCTGCACTGTGCAGCCCCAACAAGGCCGGCCAAGCTGAGCTCCTCCTCCAGAGCAGCCACAGCATTTTGCTGGGGTGTCCTGAGCTCAGGGTGGGCTGTTCCTGCACCCTCCCAGCTCTGCTGGTTTGCACATTGGCCTCAAAGCAATAGGGGGGGGCTTTGGGTATCCAGCACCCAGCACCCTTCTGCACGGGGCAGTGAATGTGGATGGCGCTGCGCAGCGGGGCAGAGCTGCAGCCCTGGATCATGGGCACAATGATGAGGGAGGTCAGCAAGCGCAGCACGGGGGGGCGCAGGCTTTCCAAATGGGATCAGCGCTGCTATGGCCTGGAAGGCACATGAGAGCTGCTCTCCAGGAGCAAAACATCTCACCCAAGCTCCACACCAGGCTCTCCACAGCACCAATCCAAGCCCAGATGAACAATTTGCCATCTTTTCAGGCTCGTAAACCCTTGCAAGCTTCCTAGGGCGGGTGCAGGCTGGCTGGGGGTCAAAAACCCAGCAAGACCCCCGAGCTCCTCCCTGCCATTTACCTGCCCCAAAGCGGCGTGCAGCTGTGAACTTCAGCCCTGCAGCCCCACAGAATCACAGAACTGTAGGGGTTGGAAGGGAGCTCCAGGGAGTCCAACCCCCTGCCCAAGCCGTTCCTACAGCAGGTCGCACAGGTCGGCATCCAGGCAGGTCTGGAACATCTGCAGAGCAGGAGACTGCACCACCTCCATGGGCAGCCTGCTGCAGTGAGCAGTGGGACCCATAGAGACACGTTGGGACCCATAGAGACACAGAATCACACAGAATCACAGGGGTTGGAAGGGAGCTGCAGAGCTCATGCAGTCCAACCCCCTGCCCAAGCTGTTCCTACAGCAGGGCGCACAGCTCAGCATCCAGGCAGGTCTGGAACATCTGCAGAGCAGGAGACTGCACCACCTCCATGGGCAGCCTGTTCCAGTGACCCACGGAGGGTCTCTGCTGCCTGTGCCCACTGGCTGCACGTGGCAGCTTCCCCTGGGGCTCCTGCAAACGCTCCTGCGTGCAGAACAGCTCTGAGATGCTTCACACACGGCCCAGATCCTGGTCTCTCCCTTACACACACGTATGTAAGTGTGTATACATATATATATACATAATTCTCTCTCATGCCTTTTTTGCTGTTGTTGCTTTGTATTATTTTAAGGGCCACCCATCCGTCAGATCACTCACGCAGGCAATTAAAGCAATTAAATAACGAAGGGGAGGGAGCAGGGCTGGAGGAAGCAGAGCTGGTGTTGCTCAGGGGCACTTGTTGCGCTTGCAGCCTTTATACCGCGCTCCCCATCCATTATTATTATTATTATTATTATTATTTTCCCCTCTTCCAACGCTGATTTCATCACCCGAAATCTGAATGAAAAAAAAAAACGGAGCGGCGGCCGCATTCGGTCTCTGCTGCCTCCACGTGGCCAAATAGCGGAACTGCGTATTGTCTCTGCTCTGAGCCTCCCGTCTCTATGGTAGTAGATCCTCCGAGCGTACTGCGCATGTGCGAAAAGCAGGAAAAATGAGTCTCTTTCTTTTTTCCGCTCTGCGCCGCCGGTCCTCCAATCTCTCTGTTATTTGGTCCTCCAGGCGGCATGACGCATGCGTACGGAAACGCGGAAGTGGCATATCTCTGCTCTAACCGCTCTGCGCAGCCAATCCTCCAATCTCTATTGTGATTAGACCTCCAGAGAGTGAGAGTGTAAAAAGGGCAGGATCATGATAGCCCTGACCTTAAACATCCATTCATAAAGATCCCAGTATCATATTGTGCTCAACAGGTGGCAGCCAACTGCACCTCAAGAGCCCCTACCCCAATGAAACGCCCTCTAATAACCCCCTCTGTCCTGATAACCCACCCACCCCCCAACAAACCCCACCGTAATTAAACCTTCACCCCAACCACCCCCTCCCATCATGGTTTTACGATTCTTATTTTCAGGATTCCACATCATAGCATCACGTAAAGCACTGGGAAATGAAGAGTTCATAGAATCACCAGCCCGCAAAGCCTTCCATCTAAAACACAAAATCTCCAGATGCAAGGGTTTGGGGTTTTTAGGTGCAGGATTTTGGGTGCTCGGAGATTCACGGAGTTGGTGCAAGGTGCCAGGTTTTGGGCTTCTGAAGCAAGGTTTTGAAGCCCGGGTGGAAGGTTTGGGATCAGGGGGCCAGTTTGTGGCAGCTGGGTTTTGGGCTTCAGATGCAAGGTTCTGGGTTATCAGTGCAGGATTTTGGGGCTGGAGCAGGTGCATGGCAGCGCAGCAGCCAGACGCATTTCCTCCCCTGGGCTGCCGTGTGCCCACATGTCTGAGCTCTGCAGGAGGCTGGGATCCATCCCAGCTCCCTCTGAGCACCGAAGGCCAGGAGCTGCATCCCCCCCACAGCGGCTGCACAGACCCAGAGGGGTTTCCCATCAGGGTTTTGGGCTGGGGGCTGGGGGGAGCTCCCACTGGTGCTGCTGTGGGGCAGAGGTGCGTGGAGCTGCCTTACCTGTCAGCATTGCAGTTGTGCAGCCCTGCCAGCCCTGGTTTTTATATCTCTTTTTATATACACAGCAGTGTGACATTTTGGAGGAATTTTTGGATGCGTGCTGGAGCTGCGCGGCGTCCCCTCAGCACTGCAGGCCCCAAACCCAGCCCCCATCCTGCTGCCTGCAGATGGACAGGGACGTGGGCGCCTACGGCAGCCAGTAGTGGAGGACCTTGCTGCCATGGTGGGCTGTGCGGCTGAGGATGGAGGGGGGGAGGTTTGGGGTTTTTTGTAGGGTTTTGGTGAATTTAATGCAGTGTTTGCCCATAATGTTTGAGCTCACAGTGGGAGGTGGGGCGGACGTGGGGATGGGGAAGGGGCACAGCAGGGGGTGGTGGGCAGGGAGATGGTTGGGATGTGGGGATGGGGACGTGGCACAGGCTCCTCGTTGGGTTACCAGCCCTTTAAGAGCCTTTATTTGGCACTGTGCCTTTGAGGGTCTTTATTTGGCACCAACCCTTGAAAGGTCTTCGTTTGGTGCTGCCCCTTCAAAGGCCTTTATTTGATGCTACCCCTTTAAGAGGCTTCATTAGGCATTTTCCCTTTGAGGACCTTGATTTGGGGCAGCCCCTTTAAGAGCCATTATTTGACTCTTTCCCTTTAAGGACCATTATTTGGCACTTTCCCTTCAAGGTCTTTTATTTGGTGTTGCCCCTTCAAGAGCCTTTATTTGGCACTGTGTCTTTTAGGGCCTTTATTTGACGCTACCCCCTTAAGAGGCTTTATTAGGCACTTTCCCTTTAAGGACCTCGATTTGGCGCCGCCCCTTCAAGAACATTTATTTGACACTTTCCCTTTAAGGATCTCGATTTGGCGCTGCGCCTTTAAGGCTGGGCCGCGGCAGACGCATGCGCACTCTGCCCCCCCGCGCCATTCCGGGGCGCCGCAGACAGCGGCCCTTTTTGCTGCGGCCGGAAGCACGTGATGGCTACATCCGGCGCGGCCTCAGCCCTTCCCCAAGATGGCGCCGTCGTGCGGGCGCTGATTGTTCGAACGGTTCGCCGGACCCGACGCGCTGCCGCCGCCGCCGCCGCTCACTTCCGGCAGGCGCTGAGTGGGGGCGGAAGCGGCGGCCATGGGGCGGCGGGCCGGGTCGGGCCGCCGGCTCCAGGCCTGAGGTGAGCGCGGAGAGGCGGGCAGAGGAGGGGAGAGGCGGGGGCTCGGGCCGCGCGGGGAGGGGAGAGGAGGGCCGGGCGGCGGGACGGGGCGGAACGGCGGTGCGTGAGGGGACGGAGCGAAGGGCCGCGGGGACGGGGAGGAGGGGCGGGGCGGGAGCGGCGCAGCCGGGGAGGGCCGAACTCCGCTCCGCCGCCGACCTTGAGCGGGGCCGGCGTTGTTGGCACGCTGTCGCCGCGTCCGGAGCGCTTCACGTGTTTGGCGGCCCCGCGCGGCCGGCGGAACGGGGAGGCGGGAGGGCTCCGCGCCGTGGGGCCGCGTCTGCACCACTCGCGTCGGGCACGGCGCTGCTCGGCTTCCGGAGCGGCCGCGGGGCGGTGCGAGCCCTCCGCTGCGTGCTGAAGGGAGGTCCGCCGAGCGCTGAAAAGGACCCTCGGGGTCACCGCGTTTCATCCCCGCTGTGTGCAGGGCCGCCAAGCAGCAGAGCGGGCTGCCCAGAGCCTCGTCCAGCCTGGCCTGAATGCCTCCAGGGATGGGGCATCCACAGCCTTTCTGGACAACCTGTTCCAGTGCGTCACCACCTTCTGAGTGAGGAACTTCCTGACACCAAACCGAAATCTCCCATCTTGGTTTAAAACCAGCTGCCCGCATCCTATCGCTATCAATCCCTCTGGGCAGCAGCAGCGCACAGCAAGCCCAGTTCTCGTTGGTTCTCCTGGCCCAGCTCTCCTTGCCGCCTGCTGTCTCCCAGCCACCACATCGGTATGCAAAGCGGGAGCCCCCGGTCTGGCAGCACACATTGTCCCCAGTGAGGGGTTGGCACACAGAGGGATGTGGGAATGTGTGAGAAGTGGGGCAGCAGGAAGCGAAGGAGGTTGGACGGTGCCAGATATCCTACAAACACAGAATCACAGAACAGCTTGGGTTGGAAGGGAGCCTGAGGATCACTGAGCTCCATCCCCTGCCTCAGGCAGGGCCACCAAGCTCCAGATCTGCTGCCAGCCCAGCTTGCCCAGCACCCCATCCCACCCGGTCCCGAACGCCTCCAGGGATGGATGGGGCCCCACAGCCTCTCTCTGCAGAGCTTCCCCTGACATCCCAGCCAAACCTCCCCTCCTTCACCTGCAATCCACTCCCTCCTCGCTCTCTGCCCGAGTGAAAAGTCGATTCCCCTCCTGTCACTGATCCCCTTTAGGCACTGCAGGCTGCAGTGGGGTCACCCCCAGCCTTCTCCAGCTCCCTCAGCCCATCTTTGTACAGAGGTGCTCAGCGCTCTGCTGAACCTCCAGGCCTGTGTGTGACCCCCAGTTCTGCCCCCCAGGTCTGTGTGTGCCCCACCAGGCAGGAGCGCCTTGCAGGGAGCGCCCGGCATGGAGGACAAACGCAACATCCCCATCATCGAATGGGAGCACCTGGACAAGCGGCGCTTCTACGTGCTGGGCATCTGCATGACCATGATGATCCGCGTCAGCGTTTACCCCTTCACGCTGATCCGCACCAGGCTGCAGGTGCAGAAGGGGAAGAGCCTTTACAACGGGACCTTCGACGCCTTCATGAAGATCCTGAGGACGGAGGGGGCGGCCGGGCTGTACCGCGGCTTCCTGGTCAACACCTTCACCCTCATCTCGGGGCAGTGCTACGTCACCACCTACGAGCTGACGCGCAAATACGTGGCGCGGTACAACAACAACAACGCCGTCAAGTCGCTGGTGGCCGGCGGCTCGGCCTCGCTGGTGGCTCAGAGCATCACGGTGCCCATCGACGTCGTTTCCCAGCACCTGATGATGCAGAGGAAGGGTGAAAGCATGGGCAGGTTCACGGTGCGCGGCCGCGACGGACGGCGGGTGGTGGTGTTTGGGCAAACCAAGGACATCATCGTGCAGATCTTCAAGGCTGACGGGTTGAAGGGTTTCTACCGTGGCTACGTGGCCTCGCTGCTGACCTACATCCCCAACAGTGCCGTCTGGTGGCCCTTCTACCACTTCTACGCCGGTACGTGCGCAGGGATGGAGGTGGGCCTTTGGTTATTAATGGGGTGGGGGTCTGGCCGGGAGGGGACGGGCAGCGTGGGGGTGAGAAGGGTTGGCTGCATCTGCACCGCTTGCTTCCAGCCATCCCAGAGCAGAGGAATCACAGAATCACCGAGGTTGGAAAAGGCCTTTGAAATGCACCCAGTCCAACCGTCCACCCGTCACCAATATTCTCACTAATCCTTGTCCCTCAACACAAAATCCAGACGTTCCTTGAACACGCCAAGCTCGGTGACTCCATCGCTCCCTGGCAGCCCATTCCACTGCCTGACTTCTCCTGCAGAGAAGCACTATTTCCTAACGTCCAGCCTGAACCTCCCCAGCGCATCCAAAGCCCATTCCCTCCAGTCCTGTCACTGCTACACGAGAGCAGAGGCCGACCCCCTGCTCACTACAGCCTCCCTTCAGGCAGTTATGGAGAGCAATCAGGTCTCCCCCGAGCCTCCCCTTCTCCAGGCTGAACAACCCCAGCTCCTCACAAGACCCCGTTCTGCTCCAGACCCCCCACCAGCTTTGTTGCCCTTCTCTGAACACTTTTCAGGGCCTCGTTGTCTGTCCTGCAGCGAGGGGCCCAAAACTGGACACAGTGCTGAGTACAGGGGACAATCACCTCCATGTTCCTGCTGTTTCTGATGCAAGCCAGGATGCCATTGGCCTTCTTGGCCAGCTGGGCACAGTGCTGGCTCACGTTCAGCATCAGTTAACACCCCCAGCTCCATTTCCTCTGCCCCAAGCCTGCAGCGCTGCGTGGGGTTGTTCTGGCCAAAGTGCAGGACTCTGGCTTTTGGCCTCATTGAACCTCATCCCGTTGGTTCAGCCCAGCATTCCAGCCTGTCCAGATCCCTGTGCAGGGCCTCCCTGCCCCCAGGCAGATCCGTGCTTCCAGCCAACTTGGTGTCACCTGCAAACTTGCGCTCAGCGCCCTCATCCAGGTCACCAATAACGATGTTGAAGAGGAGCGCCGACCCCTTGGGGTCACCACTGCTCACCAGCTGCATTTACCTCCATCCACCACCACCTCGGCCCGGCCCTCCAGCCAGTTTCTTATCCAGCCAAGAGTGCCCAAGGCGCAGGCTGCCAGCTTCTGCAGCAGAATGCAGTGGGAGACGGTGCCAAAGGCCTTGCTGAAGTCTGGGTAGATAGACTGCATCAACAGCCTTTGCCTCATCTACCAGATGGTCACAGATCATAGAATCACAGAATGGCCAGGCTTGGAAGGGACTCCAGGATCACGGAGCTCCAACCCCCCGCCACACGCAGGGCCACCGACCTGCCCACGTTTCACAGCAGCCCAGGCTGCCCAGGGCCCCATCCAGCCTGGCCTCCAACCCCTCCAGCGATGGACGGGGCATCGCAGCCTCTCTGGGCAGCTGTTCAGCCCCTCACCGCTCTCCCAGCACACAACTTCCCTGACCCCCAGCCTCCAGCTGCCCTCCCTCCGCTTCCAGCCGTTCCCTGCTCTCATCTCCCCTGCCCAAGAGCTGCCTCCCCTCCTGGCTGCAGGCTCCCTGCAGGCGCTGCAGGCTGCACTCAGCTCAGCCCCAGCTCCTCTTCTCCGTGCTGAACGAGCCCAGCTCCCTCAGCCTGTCACAGAAGGAGATCAGGTTGGCCAAGCAGGACCTGCCCTTCGTGAACCCATGCTGGCGAGGCTGATCCCCCTGCTGTCCCACGCGTGCTGCGTGATCTCCCTCAAGACAGTCCCCCCCCAATAACCTTCCCTGGCACTGAGGTCAGGCTGACAGGCCTGTAGCTCCCCAAATCCTTACAGCCCTTCTAACCCTACAGCCCTTCTTGTAGGTGTGGTGGCGGAGCTTCGGGGTTCTTCTGGTCTTGTTCAGCATCTTCATCAGTGAGCTGGACGAGGGGATGGTGCAGTCAGTGTAATTGGGAATTGCACTGATGACGAAAAGCTGGGAGGAGCAGCTGATGCAGCTGGGGGCCGTGCTGCCATTCAGCAGCACCTGGGGCAGGCTGAGAGCTGGGCAGCAGGAAACCAGGGGGGGTTTAACAAGAGCAAGGGCAGAGTCTTGCAGCTGGGGAGGAATAACTGCATTGGGGTTGAGCTGCTGGAGAGGAGCTCTGCAGAGGGGGACCTGGGGCTCCTGGTGGGCGACAGGTCGGCTGTGGGCTGTGTGCCCTGGTGGCCAGGAGGGCCAGCGGGATCCTGAGGGCATTAACAGCATGAAGGGGAGCGTGGCCAGCAGGGCAAGGAAGGTGATCCCCCCCCTCTCTGTTCTGCCCTGGTGAGGCCATGTTTGGAACACTGAGCTCTGGTTTTGATCCAGACTGATTCTGGACTCCTCAGTTCAAAACAGCAGGGATCTGCTCAGGGAGGCCGCGGGTTCTCCTTCCCTGCAAGCATCGCAGAGCTTCCTGCTGCAGGGAGCTGCTGTGCAGGGGGTTGGACTCCATGACCTTCCAGGCCCTACAGCTCTGTGATTCTGTGATTCTGCGCTGTGCAAACTGAACTGATCAATGGTGTCAGTGTGTGTGTGGGGGGGGTGGAGGGGTCAAATCCTATGCAGCCAAAGCAGGAGGAGGAAATCCCCCATCCTCCCTCTGGGTGGTTGGTTGGTGGGCTGCAGGGCAGGGGGCTGGATGGGCCTCGGGGGTCCCTTCCTACAGAGGCTGTGCTCCGGTTCCGTGAGCGCCTTGCAGACGCAGTGCTGACCGTTCCCTTCTCTGCCCCATCCCCAGAGCAGCTCTCCAGCCTGACCCCCAAGGACTGCCCACATCTCCTCCTCCAAGCCATCTCAGGGCCGCTCGCCGCCGCCACGGCTTCCACGCTCACCAACCCCATGGATGTCATCAGAGCTCGGGTTCAGGTACGGCTCCGCGTCTGCCCACGGTGCTCAGCACCTCGGGACGCCCTTCCCCTGGGGCACAGCTCGGTGCTGGGGCTGCAGCGGGGTTTCAGAAACCCATTTAGCACTGCCTGGGGGCTCTGCTGCCTCCTGCCCCTGTGATGTATGTACAGAGGGGGGGTCGTTGGTGGCTGTGTCCAACCCCTTCTCTGGAACAACTCCTCCTGTGCTGCCACCAGGCATATTGAGGAGAAGAGGCATGAGGAGAAGGTTTGGGGCAGTCAGCATGGCTTCAGAAGGGGAAGCGGTGCTCGAGTGGCCTTTTATGAACACATAACCAGGCAGATAGGTGATGGCAAAGCAGAGGATCTTGGTTTTGGTAAAGCTTTTGGCAACGTCTCTCATGGCATCCTCACAGCTACACACAAATGTGGTGTGGATGGTTGGGTGGTGAGGGGCACTGTGAAGAGCTGGGGGGAAGAAGCCAGAGAGCTGTGGTCAGTTGGGATGGAGACCAGCTGGGAGCCCGGATCCAACGGGGTCCCTCGGGTCGGTGCTGGGATCAGTGCTGCTCGGTGCACACAGCAGCAACGGGGGGGAGGAAATCGAGTGCATCGGAGGTGGTGGCCCGGAACTGGGAGGAGAGGCCGACAGGCAGAGGGCTGTGCTGCCACCCAGGGACAGCTGGGCAGGCTGGAGAGCCGGGGAGAAATGGGATGAGGTGGAGCAGGGGCAGCGTAGAGCCCAGTGTGTGGACAGGAACGGCTGGGTGCCGGAACGCGTTGGGAAGCGGGCTGCTGGAGAGCAGCGGAGGGGAGAGGGACCTGGGGGTCGTGGTGGGCAGCGGGAGGACGGGAGGCAGCCAAGAAGGCTGAAGGCGCCCCGAGGTGCCTTAGAAGGGGGCTGCAGGAGGTCCAGGGAGGTTCTCCTCCCCCTCCGCACCCGGTGTCCACCAGCGCCTCCCATTTCGGTGGCTCTGCTGTGCCAGGCCGCCTCACCCACGCCTTCCAGCGCAGCCTGCCGTCCCTCCCGGCGCTGGGCAGGACCCCTCTGTCGGTGCCCTCTGTTGTTCTCAGGCCGCTCGCTTCTGTGCAGCGGTTGCTCCGGCGCTCCGTCTGTCCTGCAGCTCCTGCGGCGCCTTTTTTATGCCGCTCCTTCGCATCTCCGTGCTCACGCAGGCAGAGCCGCGAGGCAGAACACGGCGCGGTGCTGCTGCCGGCCCTCGCTCGAGCAGGAGGACGTCTGTGCCGACAGCTGGGCCGCTGGGCGGTGCGGGCTGGGAGGAAACCGCTGTGATCGGCCCTTCCAGGAGGCTGCTTTGGGAATCCTGCTCCCCATTGTGCATCTGGTGCCGCCCTGGTGCCGTCCGTCAGCATCGGGCGTTGCAGGCAGTTCATCCCTTGGCTTTTCTTCGTTGCTCTCCGTTCCGTTCGGTTTTTCAGCCGCTTCTGCAAAGGCTGCGACACGAACTCGCAGAGGGGCTGAATGTAATCGAAGCCTTGAAGCTTTATTAATCGGCTCATTTATGAGGGCTCTTCTTTCCCCTCTGCCCTCGCTGCTGCTGACATAGCAGCATAGCTTTGTGCTGTTTAAAAATGCAAACGAGTGGTTTAAAAAGCAGCCAAAATCACAGAATCACTGAGTTGTAGGGGTTGGAAGGGAGCTCCAGAGCTCATCGAGTCCAACCCCCTGCCAAAGCAGTTCCCTACAGCAGGTCGCACAGGTCAGCATCCAGGCAGGTTTTGAACATCTCCAGAGCAGGAGACTCCACCACCTGCCTGGGCAGCCTGTTCCAGTGCTCCGTCACCTCACTGTAAAGAAGTTCTTGCACATATTTGTGCACAACTTCCTATGCTGCAGTTTCCGGCCGTTTCCCCTCCTCCTGTCTCCACTCCCCACTGAAAACAGTCCGGCCTCGCCATGCTGCCCCCACACCTCAGGTATTCATAGACCTGGATCAGCTCCCCTCTCAGTCTCCTGTTCTCCAGGCTGAACAGACCCAGTTCACTCACCCTTTCCCCATAGCAGAGATGCTCCAGGCCCCTCACCATCTTCCTGGCCCTCCGCTGTTCTGTTTCCAAGAGCTCCCTGCCTGTTTTGTGCTGGGCAGCCCAGAACTGGACGCAGTGCTGCAGACGAGGCCTCAGCAGGGCAGAGCAGAGGGGGAGGATCGCCTCCCTCCACCTGCTGGCCACGCTCTGTGCAATGCACCCCAAGATGCCATTGGCCCTCTTGGCCACAAGGGCACCCTGCTGGCTCATGGCTGAGCTGTCGTCCACCAGGACACCCAGGTCAAAATAATGGAGCAGAGCCAGCAGTGCAGAAATGACTGATTGCAGGCAGGAGGGCTCTGTGCAGCTCCGGCCAGAGCCACCACACAGCCCCGCGTTCCTCAACGACTCCTCGACTACTCCTAGACTACTCCCTGGGGAGGCGACTTAAGAAATTCCATGTCAGTCGGTCCAGCACTGAAATACAACCATAGAACCCACTTGCAAGAGTCCTGAAACCCCATTTAAGGATGTCGGCAGGGGTAAATGAAGGCTGCAGGCATTAGGAAGCATGCAGGAACAACAGGCTGAAGTGAGCAAGAAATGAAGCGACTAGGAAAGCGTTTTGTGTGGTTTTAAGTGACAGGGAAAAAAGCTCTATCTTAAAATACAGAAAACACATCTAGAATCTGCGATACAACCCGACTTCATAACATCACAAGTACCTCAAAGTCTGGTCGATAAAACATTGGTTTGTGACAGTGGAAATCTGCCTGCCTTTCTGTTCTACACAAGAACATGGAGGCTGTGGGTGCCCCAGCCCTGCAGGCATTCGAGGCCAGGGGGGTTGGAACTGATGAGCATCGTGCTGCTTTTCAAGCCAGGGCATTTGATGAGTCTATGATTCTGTGGGTCCTTATGGCACCCCATGGGTCCTTATGGCACCCCTTGGATCCTTATGGCACCCCATGGGTTCTCAGGGCAGCCTGGGCTGCTGGTTGGCGACCTGCACACAGCTGGGGGTTGGAGCTGATGGTCGCTGTGCTCCTTTCAACCCAGGCCATTCTATGAGTCAATGATTCTGTGGCACCCCGTGGGTCCCTATGGCACCCCATGGATGCTTATGGCACCCCATGGATCCTTATGGCACCCTTTGGATCCTTATGGCACCCCGTGATCCTTATGGAACCCCTTGGATCCTTATGGCACCCCATGGGTCCTTATGGCACCCCATGGGTCCTTATGGCACCCCTTGGATCCTTGTGGCAGCCTGGTCTGGTGGCTGGTGACCCTGCACACAGAAGGGGGTTGGAATGAAACGAGCCTTTTCAACCCAGGCCATTCCACGAGTCAATGATTCTGTGGGTCCCTATGGCACCCCATGGATCCTTATGGCACCCCATGGGTTCTCAGGGCAGCCTGGGCTGCTGGTTGGCGACCTGCACACAGCAGGGGTTGGAACTGATGGTTGCTGTGCTCCTTTCAACCCAGGCTGTGCTGTGATTCTCCACCAAAATGTCGGTGGTTGATGGGTTGGGTTCAGCCCAGTTCAGTAACTGAAGGGGTGTGGGGGGAAAAGGGGATGAAGGGGAAAAGGAGGGGGGAAGATGGGCCCAAAACCAGAGCAGCAGCAACAGTCTGAGGAGAAAGAAACTGATTTGCTAAATAAAATATCGGAGTGCAAGACAAAGCGCTGTAATACAATGCAATACAATACAATTAGAATTGGAGCTAATAAATCAAATACTATCAAAATAATAAAATAATAAACCCAAGTGAGAGAGTGCCCAAAAGGCCTCACTCTGATGCTGAGCTGATCTGGGAGCACCGCTGGGATCAAAAGGGAGAGGACAGAATCCTTTTTCCTCGGGCAGAGAACAGCATCACAAGTGAGGCCGAGTCCTGGGCTGAGCGCAGAGCGTCGCCCTGCTTCTCGGGTTGGGCCGGGCGAATTCCAGGTCCTCCCAGTCCCTGACCTCTGTGCTTGTGCACCTTGCAGGTGGAAGGCAAAAGCTCCATCGTGCTCACCTTCAAGCAGCTGATGGCGGAGGAGGGACCCTGGGGTCTGACCAAAGGCCTTTCCGCCCGCATCATCTCCGCCACCCCCTCCACCATCGTCATCGTGGTGGGTTACGAAACGCTGAAGAAGCTGAGCCTGCGCCCGGAGCTGATGGACTCCCGGCACTGGTAGGGCTGGCAGCTCCCACAGCCGCCTTCGTGTTCAGCACCGCAGCTCTCGGAGCCGCCCTGAGCTCCGCCAGCGTTTTTGCCCGGCGCCGCACGGAGCCCTTCGTGCCCTTCCGTCCTTTGTGAAACCGGAGCCAGCAGCTTCCGCCTTCCGTCCCCTTTTTCTGCCCTCTTCAACCCCACTCGCGGCGGTTCGGCCCCGCGTTCCTCGACGGCTGCTGGAGGTGCGCGAGCAGCGCGACTCGGAGCCGCCGCAGCCTTCATTGCTGCGTTCAGGGCGGCCCCGCGCTGCCCCGTTCTGCCCTCGGACGGATCCCGGCGTTACTGAACGCTTTCTGACGGCCGTGCCGGGCGCTCGTTCCCACGTTTTGTGCACTTTACGGACCGGGGGCCGCTGGGGCTCCGGGGATGGACGCATCGCCCACGGTTCTGCTCAATGGAGTGACCCCGGCGGAGACCCGGGGCTGACCTGGAAGGAACGTCGGGGCGAATAAAGGCGCGTCCGCCGCGTTCCGCTCCGGTTCCGCTCCGACTCCTCTCCCATTCTTCTCCCGTTCCGCTCCGACTCCTCTCCCATTCTTCTCCCGTTCCGCTCCGGCTCCTCTCTCATTCCGCTCTAGTTCCATTCCCGTTCCCTTCCGATTCCACTCCCATTTCCTTTCGGCTCCTCTCCCGTTCCGCCCCGGCTCCTTTCCGGTTCCACTCCCGCTCCGGCTCCTCTACCGTTCCTCTCCCGTTCCGCTCCGGTTCCCCTCCCGTTCCGTCCCGGCTCCTCTCCCGTTCCGCTTCCATTCCCTTTCGGCTCCTCTCCCGTTCCTCTCTGCTTCTGCTCCCATTTTGCTCCGGTTCCGCTCCTGGAGCGCCGCTCGGCGGGGGCGGGACCAGCGGGGCGGCCGCGGCCAATTAGAACCGTGCGTGATGCGGCAGCGTTGACCAATCGGGAATCGGACGGAGGTAGTGACCAATCGCGGGCGGGCTTTTCCTCGACGCGGGTGACAGAAGGGGGGGGGCTGGCTGAGGCAGCAGCCAATCGGCGGAGGGGGCGGGAGCCTCGAGGAGGCGGAAACCAATCGGCGGCCGGTCCGGCTCTGAGGTTGCGACCGATCAGTGCAGGGGGCGGGCCGTACGAGGAGCCAATAACCGAGCGGAAACGGGCCTTCTCTTGGGCCAATAAGGGGCTGGCCCCGCCCTGAAGCGGTGGCAATCGGAGGCGGGGACCGGCGCGTCGCGGACTAACCAACCAATCGGCGGAGGGGGCGGGCCGCACGAGGAGGCAGTAACCAATCGGACGGCGAGTCCGCCCTGAAGCGGCGGCCAATGTGAATCGAGGCCGTCGGGCGGCGGGAAATGGCAGAGGCGGCTGAGGCGGCTGAGGGCAGTGGCGGCGGTGGCAGCGATGG